ACTCGGGAGACTGAGGCAGGAGAATCTCTTCAAGCCGGGAGTCAGAGGTTGCAGTGAGCTGAGGTTGCATCATTGCACTCCAGCCTCGGCGAGAGCAGCATTTGAATTTCCCTTTGTATGAACTGTCTTTTCATGTCCTTTACCCATTCTCTCTTCAATTATTTCTATTGTTTTTTTTCTTCTTCTTTTGATGTTAGACTTTTTATCTTCTTGTTTTCCTTGTTTGCTGCAGTGTGTACCAACCAGCGCAGCTTCTTGGTTGTTGGTAGGTCTGTAAGCAAGCATTTGGTGCCAGCACAGAGAGGATGAGGGGAGGGCTGCACTCATCTGCTCTTCCAGATGGAAGTGATCAGAGGACGTGGTGATCATGGGAACACTCTGGAGAGCACGTAGCCACATTTAAATATATTGACAACACAACCATTTAGTAGACTCGGGCTGACTTTGAGCCACATGTCACGTGGCAGCTGTTAAAATCATCTCTACATGTACATGGATGGTTTTGATGACACAGCCTTGTTAGCTTTGTAGCTTTTAGCTAAAGGGCCATATGGTGAAGGTACATTTTTTGCTGGTACATTTCCTATTTCTTCTCTTTTCTTTGTCAATATATCCATTCTAGAAAATGAGATGAGCCAGGCACAGTGTGGTGCATGCCTGTAATCCCAGCTGCTCTGAAGGCTGAGGCAGGAGGATCACTTGAGCCCAGGAATTTGAGGCCAGCATAGGCACTGGGCAACATAGTGAGACTCCATCTCTTAAAAAAAAAAAAAAAAAAGGAGAAGAAGAAAAGAACAGAAAAAGAAAAAGTGGCCAGGCATGGTGGCTCAAGCCTGTAATCTCAGCACTTTGGAAGGCCGAGGCAGGTGGACCACCTGAGGTCAGAAGTTTGAGACCAGCCTGGTCAATATGGTGAAACCCCATCTCTACTAAAAATACAAAAATTAGCCGGGCATGGTGGTGTGTGCCTGTAGTCCCAGCTACTGGGAAGGCTGAGATAGGAGAATTGCTTGAACCTGGGAGACAGAGGCTGCAGTGAGCTGAGATCGCGCCACTGCACTCCACCCTGGACGACAGAGCAAGACTCCGTCTCAAAAAAAAAAAAAAAAAAGAAAAGAACAAAGAAAAAGAAAGAAGGACAAAAAAGAAAATGGGGCAAGATGCCTACTTTTTCTGTAAATTATCTTTGTAGTCCAAGTGTCCAGTAAAGTTCTCTGTTCCAAGCAGACACTTAAAATAAATGTTTGCTCAAAAAGGTCAATTCCTCTGTGTGCTGTTTTGTTGCCCTTCCAAAAAGCATGTGCGTCAGTGCAGCACTTCTTGACTCATGTTAACAGGTGTTCTGTGATTTTTTTAAAAGTGCCTGTGATTATATTAATTTTAGAAAAGCTATTTTAAATATTAAAGCATTTTGAAACATTTAACTTATAAAATACAATCAGTTTATTTGCTATAGGGCTTCTCACAGCCTTTAATGTACCAGCAAATCCATTGAACTTCCAAGAGAGGGTTGCAAGGTGCTGTCTTCTGCAAGTGTGTTTGTCCACAGAACTCTGTTTTCATACTTTCATGGTATCTCATTGAAACACAGCTCAAGCAATTAGCCTAAACTCATAGATGAACCGAGTAGACATCAATTTCTTTGTCCCCTGATTTGTCTGATTTAGGCCAAACAGGGATCTTTAACTGGAAATAGGGTTATTGATTGCTTGACTGCAGTCAGATTTCTAAAATTGAGTAAAAGCGTGTTTGTGGTTCAATTGCAGACAAAGACATACTGGTTACTTTCTCCAGGCTCCCCACAGTATTGGCAGAAGCGTAAAATTAAGAGATCAAGGTCATTTCTGGTAACCCCTCACTGCTCCTACTCGAGGTCAGATGCCAGTCTCTCTGTCTGAATCATCCAAATCAAAATTGGCCAGGGATGAGGGTATAGTGCTGGGACCAGTCAGAGCCACCACCAGCTGATGGCTTAATTATGAAGCCAATTTACAGAGCCACAAGGGGGATGGACCAGAGGCAGGGTGGAAAAGCTGTTTATGTCCAGCTCCTTAACAGGGCAGTTTCTTCTTTCTGCTTGAGTATTTCTAAAATTGACTTTTAAAAAATCCCTTATTGGCCTTTTCTGTCTTCTTGAAGAATCTTGTCTGTTGTTGTTCTCAGCCTTTCTGAAATTTGGAACAGTGGTTCTGAACAGTGTTCTAGAACACTGGTGGCTGGGATGTGTCACAAGTCATCTGTGAGCTAAAGTAAACCGTGAAAAGTGCATGCATTTGCAAATTACCACCAAATAGAATGGATTCAAGAGTACCTTATATAAGATCTTGTCTACCTACTTTGAGATCTCCTTTTTGAGTGGAATGCGCTGTTCTGATTGCATACATGATTACAGTGCTTATGAGTGGCTTTATATTTCCATTTTTATTTTCCCTTTTAATAAGATTGCACTTGAGCTACAAAGATACCAGGAACATTTTCATTTGTAATAACACAACTGTTATGATTACCCGATGAAAGGCAGCCAAAATGATGCGAGAAAAATGTTCAA